ACATTTTGCTATAAGTCCCCTTTAATTTAGCGCTGTTCTTTTGAGAACATTTTGAAAAACCCTGTTACGAGGGAAAAATTAAAATATACGCAAAAGAGAGAATAGTGCCATGAACTCCAGTTCTCATCACCCATCTACATGAAGCATGAACTCCAGGCCATCCTTCCTCCATCTACATTCTCAATATGTCTCCCATGCCTTTCTGCTTGGATGATTTTTTTTTTTAAAGATTTTATTTATTTATTTGACAGACAGAAATCACAAGTAGGCGGAGAGACAGGCAGAGAGAGAGAAGGGGAAGCAGGCTCCCTACCGAGCAGAGAGCCCAATGCGGGACTCGATCCCAGGACCCTGAGATCATGACCTGAGCCGAAAGCAGAGGCTTAACCCACTGAGCCACCCAGGTGTCCCTGCTTGGATGATTTTGAAGCAAAGCATAGACATCATAGTCTTTTACCTATAAATATTTCAGTAACTTTTCTCTAAAAGATGGCTTTTAAAAACCATATTTTAACTATGCATTTAAAAAATACATATATATATCCATAATACCTTAAAAATTTAACAATGATTCCCAAATATAATCCAACATCCAATCAAATTTTCCCATTAAAAAATTATTGGCTTATTCTAACCAAAATGCAAACAAGGCCCACACCCTGCTTTTTGTTGATATATTTCTTTTTTTTTTTTTAAGATTTTATTTATTCATTTGACAAGACAGAGATCACGAGTAAGCAGAAAGGCAGGCAGAGAGAGAGGAGGAAGCAGGCTCCCCGCTGAGCAGAGAGCCCGATACGGGGCTCGATCCCAGGACACTGGGATCATGACCTGAGCTGCAGGCAGAGGCTTTAACCCACTGAGCCACCCAGGCACCCCTCGTTGATATATTTCTTAAAACTCTATTAATCTGTGGGTTCCTTTTCCCTCTTCTTGAAAGATCAAGTTGAAGAAAATAGACTATTTGTTCTATAGTTATCCACATTCTATAGTTTGCAGATTACATACCCAAGATATTATTTAACATATTCTCTGTCTCTTGTATTTCCTATAACCTGATAGAGCTACAGGTTTGACTTTATTTGGATTCATTTTTCTGGCAAGAATACTTCACTGATGATTGTACTTGTCAGCACACACATACTGCCTGCTTGTCCCTTTTTATCATTGCCTACCTCTATTATTTTGTTAGGGGTCATCACCTACCCATTGCGTTTTTGTGTTATTCCATTTTGTTTTTCATGACATTGACTTATTGATGAAATCAGTCTAGGCATGGCAAAGTTTGTCTCCCTAGATTTGTTTGATTGTTTTACATGTCATGTGACTGTTCCTTTGTGCCCTGAAAGTTCCTGTAAACTGGACGTTGGAGCTTAAATCTTGATTAGATTCCAGTGAATGTTTTTGGTATGATGACTTGATAGGTGGTATCAGGTACTTCATATTATGTTATGTTAGCACGTACATATTGTCTGTGCACACTTATTTGTTAATTTTTTTAAAAAAGTAATCGCTACATCCAGGGTGAGGCTCCAACTCACACCTCCAAGATCAAGAGTCACATACTCTATGACTGAGCCAGCCAGCTGTGCCTGCACACACTTAATTATTTACTTATTGTTAAAGATTTATTTAGGGGCACCAGGGTGGTTCAGTCAGTTAAGCGTCACCAGGGGTCTTGGGATCAAACCCCTCATTTGGGCTCCCTGCTCAGCAGGAGCCTGCTTCTCCCTCTCCCTCTGCCTGCAGCTCCACCTGCTTGTGTGCTTGCTTTTTCTGTCAAATAAATAAATAAAAAAAAAATATATATATATATATTTTTTAAGATTTTATTTATTTATTTGAAACAGAGAGAGAGAGATCACAAGTATGCAGAGAGGCACGCATAGAGAGAAAGAGGAGGAAGCAGGCTCCCCGCTGAGCAGAGAGCCCGATGCGGGCCTCGATCCCAGGACCCTGAGATCATGACCTGAGCCGAAGGCAGAGGCTTAACCCACTGAGCCACCCAGGCGCCCATAAATAAAAATATTTTTAAAAAATAAAGATTTATTTGTTTATTTGACAGAAAGAGAGAGTGGGGTGGGGGGGATGGGAGGGGCAGAGAGACCTGGAGAGGTAGAATCTTGAGCAGACTCCCCACTGAGTGTGGAGTCCAATGTGGGGCTGGATCTCATGACCCTGAGCTGAAATCAAGAACCAGAGGCTCAGCTGACTGAGTCACCTAAGTGCCCCTGTATCCACTTATTATGAAGACCCCTTAGCAAATGTCAAATCCCATCGAAGTGTACTTATATTCCACATTAAAAAGTTTTGGTGGTAACCTGTTCAGAAGGTTTCTAAAATAACTTAATAATTTTAAGTTTAGTTAGGAACAAAAGTCTCATTTTGTTTCTAGAATTAAAAGTGATTTATTACAGGGGCGCCTGGGTGGCTCAGTGGGTTAAGCCGCTGCCTTCGGCTCAGGTCATGATCTCGGAGTCCTGGGATCAAGCCCCGCATCGGGCTCTCTGCTCAGCAGGGAGCCTGCTTCCTCCTCTCTCTCTGCCTCTCTCTGTGCCTGCCTCTCTGCCTGCTTGTGATCTCTCTCTGTCAAATAAATAAATAAAAAAAATCTTTAAAAAAATAAATAAAAGTGATTTATTACATACATATCATATGTGTATTAAAGATACTATATAACTACATGAGATGGTTTTCAGCTGATTGGTTAATTGAATCTTATTTTGTAGACTTTTTAAAAAAAAAGATTTTATTTGCTTATGTATTAGAGAGAGAGAGAGTATGAGCAGGGGGAGGAGCAGAGGGAGAGGGAGAAGCACACTGCATGCTGAGCACAGAGCCTGAATTGGGGCTCGACCCTGAGATCATGACCTGAACCCAAATCAAGAGTCCAACGCTCAACGAACTACATCATCCAGGTGCCCCTTTTCCTTTTTATTATGAAGAATTTTTAAAATATACAAAGGTAGACAGAACAGTGTAATGAACCGTTCTTATGTCCTCATCACCCACCTTCAGCTTATGGTTAAATGTGTTCCATCTAGCTCCCCATTCATTTCTCCTTTCCCATATTATTTAAAATTTTTTAACTGAGATATAATCCACATAAAATCCACCATAAAATTCACCCTTTTTGAGTGTACAATGCAGTGGTTTTTAATAACGAGGTTGTGCAACCATTACTATTCAATGATGTTTAGTATATTCATGGAGTTATACCACCATCACAAGTCTCTTTTTATCCTATAGATTTTTCCTTCGAAATATCTCTTTTTCCTTTGTAATTATTTGTTGAAGAAATTTGTTTATCCTGTAGGAATTCCATAGTCTGGATTTTGCGGCTTGCATCACTGTAGTATTTTTTTTTAATATTCCTCTGTCCTCTGTATTTCCTATAAATTGGTAGTTAGATATAGATATCTGATGAGATTCAGGTTCAATTTTTTTTGACAAGACTACTTCTCAGTTATGTTCTAGAGGCACATATTTGTCATCTTTCATTTTGTGATGCTAGCAGTGGATGTTCAAAGGGTTGATACATTTATTAGGGATTGCAAAATGATGATATTGTATCGTTCTTTATTTATTACTTGGAATACTCCTGTAAAAATAAAATTTCCTTCACCTAGTATTTGGTTTACTCAGTGGTAGTTTCATTAGAAAGATTAGCACTTATTGATTTTTGACTTTCATATTTTAGAGCCATCAACTCCCCCCCCCCGCCAGGTCTCAAACATTTTCATAAGCAGTGTGTGATAGTGCTTACCGGGTAAAACACCTACCGGGAAGGTCTGCAAGTAGGAAAATATAAGGAGGCGGGGCTAGTGGAGACATGAAATTTGACCAAAAGCACATGCATCCTCAGCTACAGCAGATTCTCTCTCTCTCTCTCTTTTTTTTCCTTGCATCACTTTAGGTTCTCCTATATAAAGGTTTACATGAAAGAAAGAGAAAGAAAGAAAGAAAGAAAGACCACCATATCTAAGAACCTTGAAAAGTTTTGGTTTCCTTGAAGAATACAACCGCTTTTCCCTTATCATTGGTAAACATCTGTAAACTATCTGTATTTTCCTGCTTAGCACTGCGCCCAAAAATTTCAAAGCCAAGTTTTCTGTTTAATTTTGGAATAGTATATCTGTATATCTGCATTTCCGCCTTGATCTTTCGTACCTGTTTCTGTGCTTCTGTGTTAAAGGTGATTCAAATTTTCTACAAGCAAAAAAGTATTTGAACAAAACATTTTCATATAGCCACCAGTCATTTTTGAAAGTACCTTTTTCTTGGCAGTCTTCTCACTGCTAGGTGTTATTTTGAAAATCTTTACTAACGTAATAAGCTAGGAATGGTTTCTCATTGGGGTCTTCATTTGTATTTCTCTGACTACTGGTGAGCTTGAACATTTTTCATGTTTATTAACATGGTTTAAAATTGCTTGCTTCGGAGGTGGCTTGTATTTTATTAGGGAGGAGCTCGGCCAGTCAACTCAAAGACAAGATAAATCCAGGAATACCTCACTCTTACATTTAAGCTTCGACTCCGCCTCTGTTTTTTTTGTCCTCCACCAACAGAGTCCTTTGTGTATGTCAACGGTCAGGGAAAGGGATCTCGGTCTGCAAAGCCGGCGGAACACTGTATCGCCCCCAAATATGTGTATTATGTGCATATATCCTATTTCTGATTTCGGTGTTTATGGAAAGAGTTCCTGAACCTTAACCGTGCCTGGAGGACCGGCTGTCGCGTGGACTCTTTCTGCAGGAGTGGCCTCTCTCACTCGGCCTTCGATTGGCCCTCCTGATCCCGCAGGAGTCGCCGCGATGCGAGCCTGCTCCTTGCGGTTGATGCGTGTGTTGAGTGGCTGCTTCTGCCTTTCTCTCACCCCCCACTTTTTTTTTTTTTTTAGCCATAGCTATGGTTACCACGTCTCTCCCCGCCTCCCTCCACCTACCAAGAAGACGACTGCCCATTGGCTGCCTGTCACCAAGTAAGCCAGTCATTGGTCACTGGTGAGAACAGGGCGCTCCCCCTTCCCCTGTCTCCCGGGTCTCTCGAGGAGCCCAGGAAGGAGGCTCGGCTAGTGTCGCCGGGCCAGGGGCTGCTGGGACCCGGCTGCGGCAATCGTTAGCGGGTCATGTCGGCCGCCCAGGGCTGGGACAGGAACCGCCGGCGGGGAGGAGGTGCCGCTGGCAGTGGCGGCGGCGGCGGAGGTAGCGGGGCCGGCGGGGGCAGTGGGGGCAGTGGGGGTCGGGGGACTGGCCAGCTCAACCGCTTCGTGCAACTCTCCGGGCGGCCGCACCTGCCAGGTGAGTCGTGGGACAGGGTCCTGACAGGTTGCGGGCGCGGTGGGAAGGCTACTGCTCCTTTTCTTTTCTCCCTGGCTTTCTTTTCCTTGGGAGGAGCAAAGGCAGGCCCACGCATAGCAGAGGGATTGGGGCATAGAGAAAAGGAAGGGTATCTTTGAGGTCAGGGAGGGAGCAGGAACACAGCGAAAAGAAGTATTTTTGCTCTGTTGAAAGCTCTGTGCTGAGAGTTGTGTTTTCTTTAAAAAGGAGAGGCCGCTGTTTCATTGACATTCCCAAATGTTTCGCCTATTCTGTTCCCAGGCTCGTCCTCTTCCGCAGTTTGATCTTGTAAAAGAAAGACATTGGCGCCTAGCTGTGAGAAATTATTTTTAAAAGGGTGCTAGATTGAGGAGAGAAGAGGGAAGAGCATTCCAAAGGGTGCTTTTGTAAAAACCACTTCGAGTGAGTAAGAGTTAGGCATTCTGAGACAAGAAAGGAGGAGGAGGAAAGGCGCGGGGTGGGGTAGGGGAGACGTGAGGGGGTGTTGGGATGTGGCTGGGAAACAGAGCCAAGAGAATTAAGAAAAACTAGTTAAATTATTAATATTTTGGAATATCTAGAACAGAATCTGGATTTTAAGGGGGGAGAAAATGAAGATCAAGAATATACTTAGTGACAAAATTATGCTGTCTTTACTGTATAAAAACAGCTGATTGAGAATTGGAAAAATGCTCCCAATGTGGTTATTTTACGTTTTGGCCTACAATTTCCTATCCTTGAGTTCAGATGCCTTAAAAAAACAAAGACAAATCAAATCGATGTGTGTGTGTGCAGACAATTTTAAAAAGATAACATTTGTAAGTTAAGTATAGTACAGGGGAGATAGGGAAGTAAATACTGCCCAGAATATAAAATATTATGTTGGGCAAGCTTATTTCTATCTTGAAGAGAACTATCAGGAATGATGTGTTAATCATTCACCATATTGTTTGTGAATAATGTTGAAGTTGATTTTATCAGGGATGTATTTGTTTAACCCAATGAGTTTTGAGAACATGATGGTTTTTGAATTCCTTTTACTAACATGACTGTACTTCCAAGTAGTCAAAAATTATTTGATTAATTTGAAGATAACAAAGGGAATTTTGCACATTGAATGAGACAGTCACTTGTTTGTGATGAAGTTATTGATATGTGTTAGAAATGCACATTAACTATTTCTATGTGCCATTAAAATTAACAATGAAGCAGTTTTAAATAGTCAAATGTATAATATACTAGGAGTTGGGTTTGAGTCGTGATAGTATCAAACTGGGTATTCTGGAATTGCTAAATATGTGATCTTTAAAAAGAGGAAAACAAGGAGAAATCCTTTTTCTTACCCCAAATGAATAGTAAAAACCTATATTTTTGTATATTGGCAGATTTGAAGATAAATCTCTTACCAAAGACTGTTATCAGTTTGCCCTCTACTACTACTTATATTTAGGTCTTTGATCTCAGATTGATTATACCATGGGCTGGGTATAGGCATTCCCAGGCCCCAAGAACCTAGTTGGTGCACTTCCTCACTGCCACCACCTGATGGCAGTGGAAGCCATGATTTCTGATAATGGGGCTTAGGTGTGGAGCTATATCTGCATTTCCTTAGCACACAAGGCTAAGAACAGCCATTTGTCCAGAGGTAAAGATAAATGTGTTTAAGGTGTGAAAATTCATGTGATGGGGTGATCAGCCTTTTCTTTTTACTTTCTTTTCCCCTTGACTGGCGCTTCAGCCTTCCTTCCCAAACAGGCGGCCTCTGCCATTTATTCACTATCAGAATCAGGAACATCTGATATCTCAATATATTTGGAATTCTTTTACACCAATTCATTATTTTCCCTAGCATGACATTTTAAGTCTCTTCCCCCTCCTGCTCCCCCGGAATGAAAGGTTGTATATTGAGGTGTTTAAAAAGATTTTAGGTGATGGCGAGGTTTAGAAATATCTAGCCCCATTTTATGGCTGACCCTGAGGTTAAATTTTTTTTTTCTTTTTTAAGTTTTTGTAGCTAACTTTCTCTCTCCATTGAACTCTAATCCCGTTTTCCTTTTTTCATCCTTCTCTACCAAGACTTCCAGATACTAAGTGTCCAGAACGCTTTCTTACTTTTTGCACACCACTATCCAGTTCCTGGTGAAACAAAACAAAATAACCTGATCTTCCTGGAGTGTTGTCTCTCCTTCAGTGATAGCATCTTTATCCATACAGTCAGGCAACCTTGGGCCTCTTCCTTAAATTTTCTTCTCCCTTGCATTTCAGGTGTGATTAATCACCCAGTTCTGTTTATTTTAGTTCTACTGTAACTCCAGTCCAGTCTGCCATCATCCCTCACGTAGGTCTCCTGCAGTGGCTTTTTTTTTTTTTTTCTTTATTTTTCCCCTGCAGTAGCTTTCTAAGCAGTCTTCCTGCTTCTACTCTCACCCTCCAGTGCATACAGCCCATTCATCTTTTGCAAGCACAGATCTGTTCTGAACTCTGCTTACAACCCTTTACTAGCTCTTCGTTGCTTTTAGGGTAAGGCAGAAATCTTAAACACCACCTAAAAGGTACTGCGTTGTCTGTCTAATTCTCGAGTTAATTCTACATCACATGGTTTGCTCTTTGATCATTTTCTGTTTCATTAGATGTATCATGCTCCCTTCTGCCACAGGGCCATTTCACATGCTATCCCATCATACAAGAACTCTCTTACTCCTCATTCTGTTTTTTGTTTGTTTGTTTGTTTTTGTTTTTTAAGCTTCTCTTCCTTTGGAACTTAGCTCAATCACACTGTGTTTTCAGGAAAGCCTTCTTGGACCTTCCCTGATTTATTCTCTTCTCCCTATACACACTCATAGGGCCTTGTGGTTTTCCTTGGGGATACTTACCATTTATGCATGATTCCTTGATGTGCAGCATTTGATACTCTTTTTTTTTTTTAAGATTTTATTTATTTATTTGACAGAGAGAGGTAGGCAGAGAGGCAGGCAGAGAGAGAGGAAGGGAAGCAGGCTCCCTGCTGAGCAGAGAGCCCGATGTGGGACTCGATCCCAGGACCCTGAGATCATGACCTGAGCCGAAGGCAGCGGCTTAACCCACTGAGCCACCCAGGTGCCCAGGATTTGATACTCTTGATACACACACACAATGCACTCATTGAGAATTTGAGAATATATATGTACATATACACACATATATATTCTCAAATTCTCAATGAGTGCATTGGCATTATATGTAAGCAGTTAGTTTCTTGTGAATTTGATTGATTAGTGGGTTCAATCCTCTACAGCCCCATCGACTCTGGACAAATGGATAAAATCAAATTCTTACACATAAAAATAGATTAGACTCTGCATTCATGGTGAGAGCACAAATGATATTTTGTGAAACTTTGTTGTGAAACCTTGTGAAACCTTGCTTCTTATCTTTTTTGCTGTCTCCTAAAATGCAGTAGTGGTGATGTGTTTGCCCCCTAGACCAAGAAATTCATAGCTTGTTGGTCCTGGATTTCTAACTCATAATCTGTATATGCTCAGTATAGAACAGGGAACATTTTTATACAGTAAGTATGGAGAGGTAGAGCTCAGGGCCAAGAAGATCCTGGGGATAATTGAACAAAAGTTACTATTGTAATTTCACTGTGTGAATTTGGTTAAATACAATGTTTTACTTGGGATAACAGTTAACATTGCTACTAATGAAAACTGAAAAACTGACAAAGGAAAAATGTAACAACTGGTAAAACTGGGCAAAATAGCATTGAAATCCTAATTTAAAAATGTGAAATGTGATATATGTTCGTGACATGAAATCCAAATGGTGCTAAAGAGTGTGTGATACAAGGCAAGTTTTCCTTCTACCTTTGACCCCAGATAATTGACTTCTTTCCCTATAAGCAACCAATGAGAAATTCTGTGTGTGTGTGTGTGTGTGTGTGTGTGTGTAGAAACAGCTTTTCTTTGGAGGGGCATTTAAAATGGTTACAGTCTTGCTAATGTAAATGATGATACAATGAATATCCCTCTATACGTTTTTACACATGAGTAAGTCTGTCTAGAATAAATTCCTAGAAGTGTAATTACTGGGTCAAAAGCTATGTACTATTGAAATTTTGATAGATATTGTCAAATTGCCTTCCATAGAGGTTGTAGCAGTTTATGTTTCACTGTTGGTGTTGGGTGCTGACCCCCCACACCCTTGGTAATAGAGTGGGTTATCAAACTTTTTTAAAATTGCCAACTAGTAAGTGTATTTTTCTTCATCTTTTCAATAGATATAAGAACTGTATTTGTGAACTTTATTTATAATATTTGCTTATATTTTTTATTCGCCTGGTTATTTTTTTTGTTCATTTTTCTGTTGGGATGTTGAATATTTTTAATAGAAACTCTGTATTTTAAGGAAATTCGTTGTCTTTGATATGTGTTGCAGATATTTTTCACAGTTTGTCATTTAGCTTTTACTTTGTTTCTGGTATATTTTTTCAGCAGAAATTAAAAAAATTTTTGTAGTTATCTTTATCAATCCTTCGTTGGATTTTAGCTTTTTGCATCATAAGAAAGACCTCCCCTATTTTAACTATTATTTCTGATTAAAATGAAAAGTCTTGTGTTTTTTCTTGGTACTTTTATGGTTTTAAGTTAAATGCACTTATCTATACAAAATATAAATTATGTAAAGTAGTAAGGTAAGAATCCTTTATTTTTCCAAGTGGCTATGGAATTATCACAGTATTGAAATATTGTCTGTAGGTACACTTAGTTCCTACATATGATTTGGGGTTCTTACTGGCACTTTTATTCTGTTACATTGATTAGTTCACCTGTTTGTACCTTAATGACCTCATTCTTTGAGTATAGTCTTCTCTACTCTAGTTCCATAATTTTCCTGGATACTTTTCCTTGTTTAGCTCCTCTCCTCCATTCTGTTGTTGTTCTTATTGGTAGAATGTTATATTTACAGATTGATTTAGAGATATTTGATGTCTTTTTGAGGTT